CATAATGCAACTATAGCTAACAATTTTAACGCCTGAAATTCCTGACAAATATCCAGAAAACTTGTGCCCTGGAGCGTTTACAATATTTTTCTGGTTTTCCATCCGAGAGGACCAATGTTCGAACTAGTTCAAGCAATTACTGGGAAAACATCCTGACCAACTTTGGCGACAAAAGACGCAAAAAATGTGACCACTAGTGTTAACAAGAGCCACTACCAGGCGGAGAGAACGCTCGACTTTTTTACTTTTTCAAAAAGCAAACAAATAAATGGCGTAAATAATTTGTTATTACAAATCTTAAAAAAGAAAATGAAGTAAAAATAAGGTTTCCTTTTTTAATTTAATAAGTCTGTCTTGTCACAATTGTTGCTTTGTTCAAGTATATATCCTTTCAATACATGAATGACAAAGTTAAGAAAATATAAGCAAAATTCAATCATTTTAAGTCAAGGTCATTTTAAGGTCAATGTCATATCTAAATCATTCCAAATGTCTGTTTGGTCACAAGTGTTGTTTTGTCCATATATGAATCAAATCCGTACATTAGTAACAAAATTATAACAACTGAACCAAAATTTAATACTTTGACCTTGACAGTCGAGGTCATTTAAAGCTCAATGTCAATATCAATTCAACCTTTAAAAAGGTCTTGTCCAAAAAGGATGATTTGTCCAAGTATGAAAATATTCCATTTATTAATTACCAAGTAACAGTCAATTATAGCAATAATCAGTGAAAATAAAGTAATTTGATCTTCAAGGTCAAAGTTAAACATAAGTCAAGGTCAACTGGAGTTTGTGATGCATGAAGGTCCTGACCTAAAAGATATTGTGTGTACATATAAAGTTAATCCATTTATAAATAACAAAGGTATAGCCAGTTACAGAAAAACAAGAGGGCCAAGATGAACCTAAATCGCTCACCTGACCCATTAAACTTATCTGAGCAATTCCTAAGACAAGCATCCTCACCAAGTTTGATGACAATTGAGTAAAAAAATGTGACCACTAGAGTGTTAACAAGGTTTTTCCATATTTGGGCAGTGTGACCTTGTTTTTTAACCCAGGTGACCCATATTCGAACTTGACCTAGAAATCATCCAAACAAACTTGCAACCAATTTCCAGGATATTTGGTTAACAACAGTAACCACTAGAGTTAACAAGATTTTTCTATTTGACCTAGTTTTCTTCAGAGATGACCCATGTTCGGACTCATCCAAGCAATTACCTAGACAAGCATCCTGACCAAATTTGATGAAAAATGAATCAAAAAGTAACCACTAGAGTGTTAACAATGTTTTTCCATATTTGGACGGTGTGACCTAGTTTTTGACTCAAGGAGACACATATGCTAACGGCCAGAAATCATCAAACAAACTTGCAGACTAATTTCGAAGATATTTGGATCAAAACAGTAGTCACTAGAGTTTTAACAAGATCTATCTATCTTTAGCTCCTGTGGCCTTGTTTTTCATCCGAGATGATCAATATTCTTACTCATATATGAGCAATTACTTAGATTTTTTAAGTTTTTACTATATACATATAAGGAAAACCTATGACTCCCAAGGTGGGGCTTATTTTGACACTATAGGCAAAAGATAAACAAGAGGGCCATGTAATGTACACACATGTAATGAAAAACAATGATCACCCCCCCCCCCCTCCCCAACAGGGCCAATTTTAACCCAAGGGCTTTTATTTGAACAAACTTGGTGGACACCCATTAGAAGATGTTTCGTGATGTTAAGTTTTGACTACACACATATAATTATAATGAAAAACAATGATCATCCCCCCCGCAGGGCCAATTTTAACACAAGGGCTTTTATTTGAACAAACTTGGTGGACACCCATAAGAAAATGTTTCATGCTAAACATCTAACCTCAGGCTTATTGGGTTTTTTAAAAGAAGACTTTTTAAGTTTTTACTGTACGCATATAGTTAAAAACAATGACACCCCTGGGGCAGGGCCAGTTTAAACCCCAGGGCTTTTATTTGAACAAACTTTGTAGACACTTACTAGAAGATGTTTCATGCTTAATATCTAAACTCTAGCTATTTGGGTTTTTTCAAAGAAGATTTTTAAGTTTTTGCTATACACATATAAGGAAAATCAATGACCCCAAGGGCAGGGCCAATTTTGACCCCAGGGCTTTTATCTGAACAAACTTTGTAGACACTCACTAGAAGATGTTTCATGCTTAATATCTAAACTCTAGCTATTTAGGTTTTTTCAAAGAAGATTTTATAAGTTTTTGCTATACACATATAAGGAAAATCAATGACCCCCTGGGGCGGGGCCAATTTTGACCCCAGGGCTTTTATTTGAACAAACTTGGTAGACACTCATTAGAAGATGTTTCATGCTAAATATCTTAGCTCTAGCTCTTTGGATTCTTTAAAAGAAATTTTTTCAAGTTTTTACTATATGCATATAGGGAAAATCAATGACCCCCTGGGGCGGGGCCAATTTTGACCCCAGGGCTTTTTTGTAAACAAACTTGGTAGACACTCATTAATAGATGTTCCATGCAAAATATCTTAGCTCTAGCTCTTTGGGTTTTCTAAAAGAAGATATCTACTGTTTTTTCTTTCGGTTGCCATGGCAACCAAAGTTCTGCATGGAATTAAATTCTTTGAACAATTTTCAAAGGTGACCACCAAAGGAACATTCCTGTGAAGTTTTGATGAAATTGGCTTAGTGGTTTATGAGGAGATGTCATTTAAAGTAAAAGTTTACGGACTGATGAAAACGATCACAAAAGCTCACCCTGTCACTTTGTGACAGGTGAGCTAAAAATACAATGGAAAAGTTTTACACTGAGAGATCAAATGGAGGTTTCTGCAATAGATTCTTAAGCACTGCACTTCAGGTCAATGAAAAAAGCTTACAAATCAAATTTGGAGTCAATCAAACGAATAGTGACCAAGTTATGCTCAGAACAAGCCTATTAAGTAAGAAAATTAATAAAAAACCTCAAAAATCATAAAGTGTACAGTAACAATTCTTGTGCACTGCACTTTTTCTCAATGAGATCTATCATACTATAAAGTTTTAAGTCAACAGGTTTATAGTGTACAAGAATTGGCCTGGACAAAAATGAAGTATTATAATTAGGTGTCTTATAATTAACAAAGGGCAATAACTCTTAAAAAATTAACAAAGGACAATTGGTCTTAAATCATGAAGTACAGGTTCTTGTGCACTGCACTTCTTCACACTGAGATAAATCATCCGATAAAGTTTCAAATCCATAGCTTTTATAGTTTAAGTGAAATGGCTGGGACAAAAGAAAATAAACAAAGGGCAATAACTAAAAAATCATGGAGTACAGGGTACCAGTTTTTGTGCAGTGAACTTCATCTCAATGATATCTATTACTCTATGAAGTTTCATGTCCATAGTTTTTATAGCTTACGAGAAATGGCCCTGACAAAAATAAAATATGAAAATTAAAAAAAGGCAATAACTCAAAAAACTAGAACTCCGCGAGTCGGATGTGTCGCCTTGTGAACAATATAGTTTAGGAGAAATGGCCAAAAAAAATAATGAAATATGAAAACTAACAAAGGTCAATAACTCAAAATATAATAAGTGCAGAGCAACAGTTTCTATGTACATGTACTGCACTTCTTATCAAGATCTATCATTCTATGAAGATTCAAGTAAATATCTTTTATAAGTTATGAGAAATAGCCTGGACAAAAATAAAGTATAAAAATTAATAAAGGGTATTAACTCACAAATAAGAAGTGCAGAGTACCGGTTCTTACACACTGCACTTTTGCTTAAGGAGATCTATCATCCTATGAAGTTTCATGTCCATAGCTTTCATACTTGAGGAGAAATGACCGGGACAAAGTATGAAAATTAACAAAGGGCAATACCTCAAAAAATAAGAAATGCAGAGTAACACTTCTTGTGCACTGCACTTCTTCTTAATGAGATCTATCATCCTATGAAGTTTCAAGTCCATAGCTTTTACACTTTTGGAGAAAAGGCCTGGACAAAAATAAAGTATGAAAATTAACAAGGGCAATAACTCAAAAACTAAGATATGCAAAGTATCAGTTTTTGTGCACTTCACTTCTTCCGAATGAGATCTATCATCCTATGAAGTTTCAAGTCCATAGCTTTTATACTTTAGGAGAAATGGCCTGGATAAAAATAAAATATGAAAATTAATAAAGGGCAATAACTCAAAAAATAAGAAATGCAGAGTACCAGTTCTTGTGCACTGCACTTCTTCTTAATGAGATCTATCATCCTATGAAGTTTCAAGTCCATAGCTTTAATAGTTGAAGAGAAATGGCCCGGACAAAATTAAAGTATGAAATTTAACAAAGGGCAATTACTCAAAAATTAAGACGTGCAGAGTACCGGTCCTTGTGCACTGCACTTCGGGTTATTGAAAAAAGCTTGCATACCAAGTTTGAAGTCAATCAGACTTAAAGTGACTGAGTTATGCTCCGGACAAGCTTTAGGGGACGCCGACACCGCCGCCGCCGACAAAAGTAATCCCTATATGTCACCTTTCAAGGCAACACAATAATAAGTGCAGAGTACAGGTTCTTCTGCATACGCCTTCTTTTATTAATATCTATCATCCTATGAAGTCCATAGCTTTTATCAGTAATAGTTATAATACATGAAATGAGTTAGTTACAATGGCTGGGGATCATCAAGGGATGTTTCTACTAAAAAATGGCGAGGTGGTTAGGCCGAAATGTCGCACAGCCAGTGTTATATCCTCGTAACTAACGAGTTTCATATACTATAACTGTTTTATTTCAATGGCATTATTTTTTCTTTTTTTTTTTTTTTTTTTTGTAATAGAAATAAATAAATAAATTGTTAGCTACATTACAGTTATTTATGCTAAGGCAGTTTTCGCTGCAGAAAAAAAAAGATATACAAAAGAAATACAATGTTAGAGGCGGATTGTAAACTGTCTAGATTTAAAAGGGCTTTTCAGTTGAAATAATTCATTCAAATGAGAGTAAATTTTATTTAATTAATCATCTTGTTTACATTTTTCATTGTATTTAGTTTATTTTAAATTTATTGATTCCATTTTTTTGCTTCTGGGAATGTTGGTTACCACTGCCCCATTGGAGCCTCTGTGAAAAAAACTATACTGATATTATACAAGGTGCAAAGCACTATACTGTTATATAGCAGTCGCGTTTTTTTTCCTATATGAATCAATGACTAGAAATGTGTCATCATGCCACCGATGCCCCGCATGCAGCCAAAATTTCAGATGTTATAATATTTAGTTCCAAATTTGTTTGCACAAATTATTTTTTTCATTTTAAGTTCAAAGCTCTTAAAACTTTTCAATGGTAACACAAACCGTTTTCATACAATGTTCAAGGCACTGAAATTATTCAGTCTTAACCTTTTAAAAATAGCATATTGCATATTTGTAGCCAAAATAATGGCTACATACATTTCCACAAAAGTATGAGTGCTGAAACTGAAAGTTCAAAATTTTTCCAACATTCAGGAAAGATAAGTCTGTCCAAAATCATTGAACAACGACCAAATTCAAACTTAAACTGCTTATTCCTAAGATGTATCTACATGTATATTATTTTCAAAGTGAAAGGGACATAACTCTGCCAAAAAAAATCATCAAACCATGACCAAATTCCAACTTGACCTGCCAATTCCTTTGACATATCCATATGTCAAATTTGAGTTGAATATGTAACACTGTTGGGTAGTTATGAACAGAAACTGTAAATTTCGTGTTATTTTCTAAGTGAAAGGGGCATTACTCTGCCAAAAATCATTGAACCATGACCAAATTCGAACTTGGCTTGGGCATTCCTTTGACGTATCCATATGTCAAGTTTGCGTTGAATGTGTCGTACTGTTGGGGAGATAATGAACGGAAACTGGAAATTTCATATTATTTTCAAAGTAAAAGGGGCATAACTCTGCCAAAAATCATCAAACCATGACCAAATTCGAACTTGGCTTGGGCATTCCTTTGACGTATCCATATGTCAAGTTTGCGTTGAATGTGTCGTACTGTTGGGGAGATAATGAACGGAAACTGGAAATTTCATATTATTTTCAAAGTAAAAGGGGCATAACTTTGCCAAAAATCATCAAACCATGACCAAATTCGAACTTGGCCTGTATTTTCTCATGACATATCCATATGTCAAGTTTGAGTTGAATGTGTTGTATCGTTGGGGAGATAATGAACGTTAACTGAAAATTTCATATTATTTTCAATGTAAAAGGGGCATAACTCTGCCAAAAATCATCGAACCATGACCGAATTCGAACTTGACCTGTATTTTCTCATTATATATCCATATGTCCAGTTTGAGTTGAATGTGTGCAACTGTTCTTAAGATAATGAACGGAAACTGATGATGACGGAATGTTAGAATTGCACTCTCTTCTTCTTAATGAGATCTATCATCCTATGAAGTTTCAAGTCCATAGCTTTTATACTTTGGACATAAGTAAAGTTTGAATATCAACAAAGGGCAATAACTCAACTCAAAAATAAAGAAGTGCAGAGTATATGTAACAATTCTTGTGCACTGCACTTTGGCATGCATTCCAAGTTTGGAGTTAATCCAACTTATTGAGACTGACTTATGCTCCAAACAATTAAACTTAAAGGACTGCCGACACCAACAAAGACACTGATACAGCCGACAAAAGTAACCCCTATATGTCACTTTTTTCAAAGCGACACAAAAAACCCCAACAAATTTTCAAAATATGATGATACATGTGTATTTCACATCTATACATTTATTTCTGTTCATCTAGGGTGTCTTTTCATATGTGCATTAAGGCGGCTCTTTTTTGAAAATGTGCAATCGCATAATTCACACTTCAATTTCTTCTCAACATAGTGCAAATTCTTTATGTGTTTTTGAAGATTATTATTCCGTGCAAATAAGACACCACATATTTCACACAAAAAATTCCTTTCAATATGCACTTTCATATGATCATTTAGTTTACCAAATGTTTTACATAAGCGACTGCATATATCACATTTATAACATTTCTCACTAGCGTGTTGTTTCTTATGTTTTATGAAACTAGATCTTAAAGAAAAATGTTCATTACATACCTCACATTTATAAACTGTCAAAGCAGTGTGTAACTTCATGTGTGTTTTACGGTTAGAATTAAAGGAAAATAAACGACCACATAATTCACACATATAATTTTTCTCACCTATATGGCACATTTTCATATGTGCATTTAGTTTCGACAATGACGGAAATAGGAAATTACACATTTCACATTTAACATGTTTGTCACCAGTGTGTATTTTCATATGTTTTCTAAGAGAAGAAGAATAAGAAAATTTTTTAAAACAGACTTCACATTCAAAATTTTCCCCACCAGTGTGTACAGTCATATGTTTTTTAAGATTACCATTTTGGGCGAATGGATGATGACATATTTTGCACACATATTTCTTCTCACCTGTGTGTACTGTCATATGCATTTTAAGTTTCCAAGAGGTCACAAATGAACGCTGACATATTCCACATGTGTAATTCTTCTCTCCAATGTGCTTTATCATATGTGCTTTGAGACTACATTGGTGTGAAAATGATTGTTGACATATTCTACATTTGTCACCAGTCATATGTGCATTAAGAGAACGCTTTTCTGTAAAGGAACGATGACATAGGTCACATGTATATTTTTTCTCACGCGTGCAACTAGTGTGTATCCTCATATGCCCTGCAAGACTCTGAATGCGTACAAAAGAACGATGGCATACTTCACATTCATAATCCTTCTTACTAACATTTTCTGCCATTATGTTTCAATAATACAACTGTGCACACCAATGAACGCTGTCCTATTTCACAGCTATGTTTCTTCTCAAAAGTGTGTACTATCACATGCACTTTAAGAGTACAAGTATAATAATGACTGTGCAAAAATGAATGCTGGCATACTGAACATTTGAGACTTCTCTATCAAGTATGTTTTATTATATGCAATTTACAATGACCACTGAGCGCATATCTCACATTAACAGTTTTTCTCACCAGTCATAACATGGAATAAGCTGGTAACTTCTTCATGTTCTTGAAAAAGATTGATCACACAATTAATATTTCCTTCCTTCTCACCAGGACATTTCCTTCCTTCTCACCAGAACATTTCCTTCCTTCTCACAAGGATGTTTAACCAACATGTGTTTCTTCAACTCACATTTTCGAATACGCGAATATTCACAAAAATAACAGCAGCTGTATATATTTTCTTAGCAGTGCGTAATAACAGATGATGTTCAAAGGCACTAGAAGAAAAATTAATATGGGTTTTCCCAAATTAAACAGATAACAGTTTTCTCATTAGTGTTAAGTACCTGATGTGTTTTAAGATTTTTTGTCGAAAATTTTTTTTTTCACAAAGACCACGTCTATACTTCTCAATTTGTGTGTTTTCCTTCAAATCATCAGTTTTACAACAGGAATCATCAATCATTATTTTAAGCATCTCTCTCTCACCATAGCTCATTTTCACATCTTTTGTAGGAAGCCACTGCCAGAAAGTACATGTAAAACATGTTTGCCCCTATTTAATAAATAGAAAACAAACAAAAAGTCATTTTAAATTGTGAATTTGCATGTTATCATTCAAATCTCAATTTTAAGAACAGAAATTTTAACATCTTTGCAACAGTTACTGATCATTTTTTTACCAGTTCTTTTGTTTGTTAATGTACATACATTTTGTTACAAAAAATCACTTTCTGTAAGTTCTACAATTGTAATGACCTTTTCTATTAAACAAGAGGGCCCTGGATCATTCACCTGGTAGAAACTGCTTGAAAGGGCCACAATAAGTCAACTAAGGATGGGAAATTTTGTTATGTTACTGATAGAAAAAGACACTGCTGGTAAAATATGACATGCTTACTGAATTGGTTTATGCAGAATTTATTTGAGTTTGATTCACAGACTTCCCAAAATACGTCGGTCCGACGGACATGTCCGATAAATTTTGATTAGGTCCTACTTTTTTATAACGGGTTGGTCTGACTGTCTGGCTTTTCCAAGCCGCATGTATATGAGTGAGACTTAAATCAAAGCACAGAAGGCGCTTAATTTGTTTGGGTCTCAGAATGTCAGAAAGGTGAAGCTTGTGAGATTATAAACCAATTTGTTTTTGTATAGTGCCACCAATGCTTTCCAGCGTTTTAAATGTAGTAAATTGGCTATAAGACTAATTGCAATGTTCACTGATTTTAAATTCAATGTTTATTTGACTTAAACAATTTGAAACAAAAATAAGTTGCCTTAACTGGGATTTGAACTCCAAACCCCTTGGCCACGGTGAAGTAATATTTAAACAGCCTGAAGAAAACCATTTTATTCTAAATTAGGGTTTGTAATGACGCTAAATGTTGTTTAACACAGATGTAAATAATCATGGAGCTTACTTATAAGCATGTATATCTATAAAGAATAAAACAATATTAGAAAAAATGTTCGACCATTCGGGAACTATTTTGCTTGAAAATTAATGTGCTTGTTATTTGACCATCTTTACGCAGTGATGTCCCCTGAATTTTTCGGCGTTAGTATACATATAAAGGGAAGTAACCGCTTCAAAAAAGCGGACTACTTTCGGCATTTGCAATTAACAGCATCAGAGTCTGAAATTTCGCTACCATTATTATAATGATTATTTGTTTGGTCTGACAACCCAAACAAATAAAAAGGATTGGTGCAACAAACTAAATACCGTATTCCGGTATATACCGGGCAAGGCGCTTGAATCATAAAATGCTAAAATTTTGCCTTTTTACCCAACGGAATGAACTTTAATAGGTCTAATTCATCTTTTCACACCGATTTATGTATAATAATGAATGAAAATGTAAAAATTGGCGAAAAAACGATATTTGTCTACATTGTATTTTGTGATCATGATTTCTGCAAGCGTCTAGAGGTACTGCTCCAATCCTGTATTGAATTAAATCCCATGTATACAGAATGGCGTCATTAAAGGAGCCAAACCTGGGAAAAAATCAAAAATCTACTTCAGAGGAGCACGCAGAACAACAGTAAAAGAATGAAAAGAATAAATTTGAGACAAAAATTTATGAAAAATGGAAGCAGGACCGTTAATCGTTGGTGTATGACAGGGAGGAGATGAAAATGCGCTGTATGGACTGTGCCGATTTTTACAGCAAAAAATAAAAAATAAAACCGAAAAGTGTCTGAGAAGTATGTCAAGTTTTCCTTTGATTTTGAATAATTTTATTCAGTCTGACAGATATCGTTTCGGTCCGACAGATTTTCATGGTTTGACACTTTTTTTAACTTTCAGTAAGTCTGGATTCATGATTGTGTAGGAAGCTATAAGCTTATAGACACTCTTTTGAATCCGTTCCTGAAACCAACCAGTACTGAGTGTAAAGTTTCTACATTAAACACGTCTCTCCCTGGTTTTTCCAGGCTTAATTTTATCATTTTCTTCTTAAATGCTTTCAACCATCTCTTTTTAACCTTACTGGTCGGAGACCATCTACCGGACACTTTTGGAACATTTTTCCGTACAGATTTCATAATTTTTAACCTACAGACCAAAATATTTGACACAGTTCAGCTAGGTTCTTCTCCTAACTAACAAACTAGTTTGTTTATATCTGATTATATTGACACTTATATCAGAGGCTCATCAAGGAGGGTATCAAAATTACCTAAATTGTCTACACTACAGTAGCATGTGTCCGGACATTTATGTACATTGTACATGACGTGATTTAATTCAGATAAAAGCTTAGGTGTTTTTATTTTTAACATGATATACAATATTTCAGCAACAAATGCCAAAGTTTGGATATTCTATTGTTTACTCTGCATATGATAATAACTGGTATATGAGGTCAGGCATTATTTTCATGACCCCCCAAATTTCAACTTTAACATGCTTGTAATAGACATTAAAATATTACCATTTACGGAGGTTGAAATTAATTTATTTACTTAATTTTAGAAGAAACATGCATTTACTGTTGATAAAAAAGTGACTGACAACATGGACAACCACTGAACAAAGAAAATACTAAATTAAGCATTTTCGGGGCCGTCCGGGTTTGGTGGATGTCCGGTTTTGCTGGTCCCCAACCAGTACCAAATAATTATTTGTTATATATTTTATGATATCGCTGTCCAGAATCAGTACCACAAACGTGAAACCTAAAGAGAACTAGGAGCGAACCGACAGTGGGACGAATCGTTATCTTAATTTAAAAGACATACTGTAGTGTGCAATTTAGAATTTATAGAATGGGTCAAGCCTCTCAGTAAATTTTAAGATGTTTAAACTGGGGCTAGACTGAACAGTTAGAGGAAGACTTTTCCAAAGACGTATGCTCCTAGGAATGAAAGAATTTTGATGATGTGTCCTCAAGTAGGGTATCAGGTAGTTCAGATTTCTTGTTTGAGTAAGGTGTTGCATGGTGGTCAACAAAAACAAAATGTTTAAATATGTTTGGTCCATGGAAGGTCTTGACTAATAGTGACTCCTGCATGTAAGTATTTCACTTCTTGAGTTGAGTTTAGTTGGATGTTATGGAGGGTATAATGAAATATTACAGGGTTTCTTTTTCTTGTTATCCTGAGAACTTCGCATTTGTCAGGGTTGAACTCCATGGACCAGTCTTTTTCCAATGTTCTAAACCCAAAGAAGTCACTTGGGGGGTTTTGGGGCATCTTTTTTAGAGTGATGGTTAGGTAAAAAACAGTATATCTGAAAAAGAGTCTAAACCTTCCCTTTTGACACTATCGGGGGGGTATTTTAAAAAATGTAAAAAAAGGAAAAGGCAGGGACCTAATACCGCCCCCTTTGGGGGGACACCGAGAGCTGGTAAAATTCCTGTTTTTTTGACCTTTAACTTAACTTGTGGGGTGTGATTTAAGGAAAGGGAATGGCCCCAATTTGTAACCTAAAAATAACCCCAATTTTTCTATTTAAACCACAAGTTTGTGATGGTCCACCTTATATGTACCAAAGTTAAGGCGTTTTAATTCTAAAAAGTAAATTAGGGAACTATTGCTTTTTTTTGGTTTAAAACCCCTTTTTTTAAAGAAATAAAAAAACATATGATTTTCGACTCCAAAATTTTTTTGGAAAAGTGCCGTAGGAAGCCAATACAGTTTGTCCTTGCTAGTCTTACACGTGTGACTTTCATCATCATGTGACGTCTGTGAAGGCAGTGATTACAATTCTGCCAAGGGAGGTAATTACTGTGAGGAGTTTGGAAGATTACCGCAGTATGACTAAAAGAAAACATGCACAAATGTTGTTGCAATGCAGCTATTGTGAAGCTCCGTACAAAAATGCGCTCATTACAGATATCTAACCAAATCATTCTGCGCACAGTCATTTGCTATTTAGATTAGGTACTATAGTGTACAATATCAAAGGGCATCCAAGCTAGAAATGCAGCAAGTGACGATGACCTAGTAGGCATCTGATCACGAATAAATGTGCATGGCATGTTGATATAGTGAAACATTATTTATCAATGGAAGACTGTTTCCTGAATTGCAGACAAATATGAGGAAATTCACTAACATCATTTTCTTGCGAGTGAAAGATATACTTTTAAGCTACTTGACATTGGTTATAAATAAAAAAACTATTGTTAATTGATTTATTGGGAGACCAGTCTACTATTTTGCTGAATTGCTTCAAAATCCTCGTCCAGTTTTAACACCTCATGTTTAAAACTGCAGACGAATTTCTCTGTTGTTAAAATGTAATCGGCAGATTATCACTCAAACCTAATACAACCGATTGCCTCCAAACAAAATAGAATCATTTTCTTGCAGCAAAAATTCGGGAAATCAAGTCGATGGTAAAAAATGTCAGAAGTGCAATCAAGGTCGTAAAAAAGAAAGGAGCAATTTAATTAATTTACAAAAAAACTACGGAAAAGCCAATTTCAAGATATAACAACAGTAAAAATGGCCTACAATAAATTTATGAAGAGTGCAATTTAATTATGATTGAATATGTTAGCATTTCATTTCCTGCGAAACTCTCCAGTTCATAGCGCTAAACAAATGACCGTGAATAGATTTTTCTGACGTTCACAATGTAAATGTCATATCTTTTTATAGCTTTCATGTACAGCAATGAATACACAAATAACCCAGTGTACTACATTTCCTGTAAAAGATACAAATGTAAGAAATAAATTACCAAATTTAAAGTTTATTTTTCATTTTGTCTCTTATAGTGCTTTTCTATGCGAAATTTGTTCCCGTTCTCATACATTAATATGACATAATGCGAATCACCGAATAGGAAACCAATATATGACTTTACATAATAAATACGAATGAATTCTTGCTTCCGAATTTATTTTAAGCTGTAAATCGACGGAATTGATTTATAAAAATCGGGATCATGGACAAAAAAGTCAACACAAAAAGCTCAATCAACAACCCACCCCGTTTAACCAGTCTTGTTCAAGCCAACAAATCGCTGGATACAATAGTTTCAATGTGAAATACCTGATCCTAATGGATATTTGAAGGAATCACCATTTTGGATCACTTAATTTACATTCTTTTCAAATACCTTCCCGTAGATCAAAGTCAAACAATGATTATTTAAAACAAGAAGTATCAGGCCTTTTTCCCCTATCCCGCGGGTCCGAATATCAGGCCCATTCCGCCATCTAAATTATGGGTTTTTTTTCCAATCCAAAAAAATATTCCCAATTGACGTAGGCCATTTAAAAAAAAGTACCGCATTTTTCAATTTTAGTTAAACAGGAATTTTAATTTTGACATCAGTTTTACATTTGTTAGTGTTTCTAGCCACGAGCGGCGTTTTTGGACGCATTTTTTACGGCTTGACGCAATGAATTCATTTAGTGCGTTTCCTGTGACGCAGTAATTTATTCTCCACTCCGTAAATCATAAATTTAACAATGTTCAAATTTTTCAAATTCAAATACAATCATGCACTGCTTTTATTTTTACAACATCTACCTTTGTCCGTTATCGACCAGAAAATCCCTTTCATGCACCAACACTAATATCCAATTTATTGTCTCTTTTCTTTAGAATGAATTATCAATTTTCAAAACCACAATCGTTATTATATATATAACCCTCTCCAATCTCTGTGTTTGACTTCAGAGGGCCAACCTAAAATGATCTTGAGGTTTGGTATAACATTGCCTG